TTGTCCGGTTAGGGAGGTTTCTTTCAATTCCTAGTTTTCCAAGATATTTCTAGTTTGTATCTGAGAGATTTCCCCCCCTAGGCTACAACAACAGTCTCGAGCCCCTTAGTGTTTCCTGCCGCCATATCACTGTACCACCCAGATGCACAGTTACTGCCCTTACTCTTAGGAGCCAGCTCAAAGTCAAAGGTTTCCGGTACAATTACCTCCTCCGAGGCCCCATGGAAGAAGGCAGCAGGGGCCCGATCTCCCGCAGCCTGCAGTTTGATAAGAGAAATAAGATATATGGAGGTAGTTATTAAGTCCGTGGAAGAAGGCCGTAAATGACAGGGTAAGCTCTCCGGAGGCCCCAGGTGAGAGAGAGAACATTTCCAGCAGTGGTGAAGGTCAGGAGAGGCTTTACAGAAGGGCTGGATCTTGAATTTGGCCTTGAAGAGTGAGTAATATTTTGACAGGCGGAGGGGACAGGGAGAAAACGTCGGGGAGATGCAGCATGTTTAGAAATCAGCAAGAATGCAGTTTGGTGAAGCTGTACATTATACAAAGCAGGGAGTGAGAATTAAAGTGGAACGGGAAGTTCAGAGTCAAATCACAGAGCACTTTAAATATTCTAATAGTAACATACTATGTGTCCGATAGTGTATTAATCACCTTCATACCTTATTTACTATGCACAAAAAATTTGCAAAACAAACACTGTTATCTCCATTACGCAAATGATGAAACTGAAGCTCACAGAGCCAAGTAAACTATTGTCTCAATTAACTTCAGAACAAAGACCTTGGCCTACTACTTCTTTTTTTTCCTCCCTTTTATAGTATTGTTTTACACAGTTGTGATCACATAAATATACGTTTTTGTTCTATCTTGTTAACATTATAGCATGAACATTTTCCCACGTCATTAGAAACGCCTCTTACATTATATTTTTATCGGTGTTGGCTGCATGAAACTGTATCACAGTTTACAGTTTTTGTAATACTATGTATTGTAACATTATTTTTTAATTTTTTAATTTTTTTAAAGATTGGCACCTGGGCTAACAACTGTTGCCAATCTTTTTTTTTTTTAAGGATTGGCACCTGGGCTAACAACTGTTGCTGATCTTTTTTTTTTTTTAAGGATTGGCACCTGGGCTAACAACTGTTGCTAATCTTTTTCATTTTTTTCTGCTTTATCTCCCCAAACCCCCCTCTGTACACAGTTGTATATCTTAGCTGCAGGTCCTTCTAGTTGTGGGATGTGGGACGCCGCCTCAACATAGCCTGACGAGCGGTGCCATGTCCGCGCCCAGGATCCGAACCCTGGGCCGCCACAGCGGCGCGTGCGAACTTAACCACTCGGCCACGGAGCCGGCCCCAACTTTTGATATTACAAATAATGCTGTGGTGAATATGTTTGTGAATCAATTTATCCTTAGGTCTTTGGTAGTGACAAATTGCATATCACTGTTATTTTGTACCAAATCTTTAGTAAAGTTTAACATTTTTCAAGAGTTTGTTTGCCGTCCGTATGTCTTCTCTTATGAAACACCTTTCGTTTCCTTTGCTCCTTTCTCATTTTGAGTTTCAATTAAGTTTATCAGTCTGTATGAGCCCTTTGTATACAAAGGCTGTTAACTTTTTGCTGTCATAATTGTTGGGACAATTTGTTTCTTTTGTTGCCCTAGGGCCCCTTGACCAAGAAATACATTTAGAACCCTCGTCAGTGTATTGGTTTGGCCATTGTCACTTGACAGCCATAGTGTGACCAGGGTCAGGAGTAGAGGTGATCTCTGCTCCAAGGGGAAATAAATTTTCAGTTAGGGAAATAGAGTAAAAATATTCTCAGAGGATTTGAGGTAGGTTTTTTTTTTTTCTTTTTCCAGTGTAAGCAACTCTAAATTTTTATGCTAACAAAGGAGAACAGAGCTGTGGCTGAAACAGACCCAACACTGTATCATTCAATTCTAAGTTAGGTTCTCATCAGGGTCATGTCAAAAGCAGCGACAATTTCCCAAGGGCATGGCTGAGGGACAATTACAATTCCGGAAAATTGTTGCATTGAAATATCCCTTTGGGTCCATTATGTTACCTGGCTGTGCTGAGTCAGAGGACCTGAGGATTTCCAGGCTTAGAATACCAGGACACCCAGTGAAATGGGGGTAAACCAGAGCCTTTCCAAGCACAGATTTGCTTTCTTGACCCTGTGCTGAATATGAACAATTCCTTGCCTATCACAACCAGATTCAGGAACACCTGAGAAGGACTGAGGGAACAGGGAAACTGTGTTCTGTGACTTCTTGCTATTGACACCTTATTACCTGAAGTGGCTAAAGGGAGTCTGTTTCTTCTCACTCTCTTGAGTTGAAGAATCAGAATGAAGTTTAAAAACTGTGATGGTATCTTGTGCCCCTTTTCTTAGAGGAGGGTTTATAGCTCCAATCTCCATCTTCTAAGCATACTGTGTACTTTCCTCTTACATGCTAAAATATCAATGATTTAAATCAATAGATAAATTCCATTGTATACAAATATTGATCACATACTTATTTATAACTTCTCATTTGCCACTGACCTAATAAGTGTTTGTTTTTTGGTGTTTTTTCTCTTTTTTTTGCTGAGGAAGATTAGCCCTGAGCTAACTTCTGCCAATCTTTCCTCCACTTTATATGTGATTTTCTGCCACAGCACAGCTGATGAGCGGTGTAGGTCTGAGACCAGGATCCAGACCTGCAAACCCAGGCCACTGAAGCAGAGTGTGCCCAAACTCAGCCACTATATCAGGGGTCCGGCCCCAAGACCTAATACTTCTTGATACCAAAGCTCCTGCTTTCCCCATAATATTACTCCTATCATGCAGCCATGTTTTGTGGGCAGTAGAAAACTACTGAGAGTTTTAATGTAGTGGGTGACACTCTCATAGCCACGTGACACACCCTGGACGAATTTCAGGGAGGAAGCCCAAGCTAGGGAACCAGTCACTTTTCTATGTAGTTATCAACAACAAGATGAGCTCTGATCATTTCTCCCTAAAACTTTCTCCCTAATCCAGACCTTCCCTAAATTCCCAAATATTCCTCCACAGGGTAGCATCTTGTCTTTAGAGAAAAATAAAATACTCCAGCTCTACATTTTTGTCTTGGCAACCCTCTCCTTTCTCCGGCAGAAAAATGAATGATCTAGCACCTGGCCAGCACTAAGTAATACCAGCAGTAAGAGTGAGGGGGAAGGCAGTCTCCAGGGGACCCTGATTTTTCAGATTGCTCCCTGATGAAGTCCAGGATCTGGAGGAAACAAGGTCAAATATACTTAGGCAGTTACAGAGAAAGAAAGCTGGTCTCTGTGGTAGAGCTACCTTTGATCACAATTAAGGGCACACCCCAAAAGGAACTCTGAATCTTCCCCCTTGAAGAGTAAGCTCGCAGTTGGTAGAGGAATTAAGCAAATCCGACATTGTAGAGAGACCCTGAAGAGTGGCAGCATGGGCAGACTTCTCTTCCACATGCAGGACACCTCTGAGCCATGACGAGACAAGTTGTCCATATCTGAAAACATCTAGTCCCATTCCAAATTTTTGCACTGGACAGGGAGCCAGGACTGGAATGGAAGTGCCTGGTGACTGGCCAGGGGGTTGGACTGACCCTGAGACCAGTGGCCAACAAGGGAGCTCCGTAGTCCTCCACCCAGGCGATCCCAGGTGCCTGCCTTCCTGAGAAGCTGATCGTTGGTACAGAAGTTTCTATCTTCTCCTCTTCCCAGAGGAAGGTTCCTGGGATGGTATTTGAGGAGGCAAAGACGTGGAAGGAGGCTGGGAGGAAGCATAGCCTGCCTGGTTTCAAGCTTACTCTCATGGTGAGGCTCCCACAGGCCCAGAAAAGCAGGGGGCATTAGAGACAGGTCGGTGAGGTCGGAGCACGTCGAGGATGCCTGGTTCTGAGCAGGGTTAAGAGTTTGGGCTCTAGCATCACATTTCTGGGCTCAACTTGTAGCTCTGCCACTTACTGGCTGCGTGACCAGTCAAGTTTTTTAATTTCTCCATATCTCACTTGCCTCACCTTTAAAAGGGAATAATGGACTACCTATTTCATAGGATCACGGGAAGGATAAAACAAATGATTCCTGTGAAATGGCTTGCAGTAATAAATTCAATGCTTCTTAGCTATTCTTGTTCCACGTACAATCCTTTCTCCTGCCTCTGGGTGAAAGCACATGTCTGTGCTTCCTGCATTTTTCCATGAAGGAGATTCCAAAATTACAACCTGACAATCTGAAGAATATCCAAAACATCCCTCACACATTCTGGAGGAGTGGGCATAGGCATGGGATCACCCAGTGGCGCCTGGCAGTGAACGTCGCGCGCTGGGCGAGCCCAGCGGCTGAACATCGTGCGCGCGTGCAGGACCACACATAGGAGGATCTACGTGCGTGTGCGCGACCGCCCGCCGGGAGGCCCAGCGAGTTCAGCGGGCTCAGGTTAGCGCCGCGCAGCTGTGGGCGAGGCAGAGCCATTGTTCCGCAGGGGACCAAGCCCCCCGCGCTCGCCGGGGACGGAGGCGGGGCTTCATCAGGCCCCTTTGTTCCCGACCCCGGGTTTGAAGGCACGACTCCCCTCCCACGCGTCTCTGGGAACGGGGAGGCAGGACCGAGTCGTGCTTAGTGATCGCCCCCGTGGCTTCCCCACGGTTTCCTGTGAAACTTCCCCAGTGCCCATCCATTCGCAAAGTGCCGAGACCAGTCCTGGGCTGGGACCCAGCCTCCATTCCCGGCCCGAGTCCTCTCCCTCTTCCGGAGAGACAGATCCCGAGCACCTCCGAGGCCGCAGAGTGCCGGGCACAGGCCCAGCGTCCGGTGGAAGAGAAGCCGAGCGGGAGAGAGGGAAGGGAGGGGGAGCGAGGAGCTCGCGGCAGAGGGAACAGCAGATTGCGCCGAGCCAATGGTAACGGCAGGACGAGGTGGCACCAAATTCCCTTTGGCCAATGACGCGCCAGAGTCTACAGAAGCCCATTAGCATTTCCCCAGAGGCAGGGGCAGGGGCAGGGGAGCCGCGGTGTGTCTGCAGCATCCAGTTTTTGCGTCTCCGGCTCCAGCACGCCTCGCCTCTCTGTCCCCTCCCCTCTCCCTCCCTTGCGGGGGCACCACGGCGAGCCAACTCCGCGCACTTTGCCCCTTGTTGGCAGCGGATAAAAGGGGTCTGAGGAAATACGTGACACAGTCACCCACTCCAGCTCTAGTATTTAAATTCCCAGCCTGCGAAGATCCCTCACAGCGGGTCGGGTCTGGACACAGATCCAGCGCACACCGCGAGGGAAGCTTCCGACCGCAGCGCCGCGGATCCCCGCGCAAAAGCGGGCTTGGGGACCGAAGTCTTCCCTGTGTCCGGGCTGTCCCGAACTCTGCTCCGCAGCCTCAGCGCTGGGAAAGTGATCCCAGCTTCAGAGAGCCCAGATGCCGGCCCATTTGCTGCAAGAGGAGGTGAGCGTCCCAGCAATGGCCCCCAGACCGCGGTCTCGCCGGCTCTGGCTGGGCTTCGCGATGACTCGGTGCGGGAGAGAGTTGAGAGCACCGCGGAGGACATAGCCGTGTTTTGCGAGTTGTACTGCCTTCCGTTTGTTGGGAATGTGGATTTTAATTTGGGGACTGGGTTCCCCAACTTTTGTTTCTTAAGCTTTAAGGAAAAATCTGGTCGTGCCAAGACCTTGATGTGTGCATGTGGGTTTTGCTTTGTGTGGTGGTAAGGGTGCCAGTGTTTTACTCCTTCTTCCCGTTGTTCCGTCACCTTGAGGTTTCCCCGGCCTCCCCAGTCTATCTGCACAGTTCCTGGGAACTTCTCTCTCTGCCGTCTGGGGTAGACAGCCCCCAGGTAGCCTGGGTATTCGGGCAGGGTCTTTGCCCATACTCCACCCTTCCCCCAGCTTCAGTGGGGAGTGAAGTGGCCCCTGCTATCTCCACGTGTCCTCTCCAGCCTCCTCTCTCCTCACTCCCGCTTCCTCTCCCCCCCAGATCTCTAGCTCCTACACTACCACCACCACCATCACAGCGCCTCCCTCCAGGGTCCTGCAGAATGGAGGAGGCAAGTTGGAGAAGACTTCCCCATACTTGGAAGAAGACATCCGCCCTGAAATGAAAGAAGACCTCTATGACCCGAGCTACCGGGATAAGGAGGGCCCAAAGCCCAAGTTTCAGTATGTTTGGAGAAACATCATCCTTATGTCTCTGCTACACGTGGGAGCCCTGTATGGGATCCTACTGTTCCCCAGCTGCAAGATCTACACCTACCTCTGGGGTAAGAGGTCCCCTTGTCCTCCTCACCCAGTAGCCCAGGTCTTCCGCTCTTTTAATAAGGTAGCATCTTACATAGAGCAGAGGCACCCACGAGCCCCTCCGGGCCCAAGTTTTCTTAGCCATTCCTCTGCCATGGCCTGAGAGGCTGAGTGGGCTGGGAACACAGCCTGCGGGGATTGGGATGCAGGACTGTCAATTCTGAGGGTCCTTTAATCTGGGTGTTGAGGAAGGAGCCCTGAAACCATGTGCTCTGGGCTTTGAAGTGAGTAGACCTGTGTCAGAGAGTCAGCGTTGCCTGAAAGAGATTTTCTGTTTCAAGTCATTTGCTTGTCAGCTTGTCCCAGCCCTGCTAGCCCCCAGGGAATCAAGACTCTTACCTGGGAGTCATGGGATCATGGGACTAGACCAGTGGCTTAGGGGGGACATGCTGAGCACAGTCGTGGGTTCGCTGGAGAAACTGCTCCGGAAGAGAGTTGGTGGAAGAGGGAGGAATGGAGAGATGCTTATCCACAAAATTATTCTGCCCTGACCCTTGGCTCCCTTATTGTACAGAATGATGAAGGCTCCTGGACAACCAAAGTTACACAGATGTACTACCCTATGACCCCACGTAGGTCTCCAGGGAACTGTACATGCCACTCAATGAAATGTCCTTAGAATGAAATATGGTTGAAGAAATGTTTCATGTCTCACTCCACATCTAGCCTGCTCCAGCTCTTCTCTCCTGATGCCAAGAAGTCCCTACTTGCCAGGGACAGCCAGGCCAGGCCAGAAAAGAGAGACCTGAACAGCCGTGGGCTTGAAGCTGCTGCAGTGAAGGAGAGAGTCCCCAGTTTGTCCCTGGCCTGCCCTTAGCTCAGCTCTTTCAGGGATCCATGGGTATGGGCTGATAGCAGGGCCCTGCCCCCTGGATACACACATGCGCTTTGCAGGCATTTGCACCTCTGCCACCATAATCCTGGCTTGGGAAGGGGGGAACAGGGAGCTCTAAAGCCCCAGGGGCCCCACATTGCCACTCTGAGGGTGATGAGCCAGAACTCCCTCTCCAGAAAACAACTTTAGGGTTTTCAGAGCAGTCTCAGGTGTGGGGTGCGTGCTGACAGCTACACTCTTGGAGGGTAGTTATGAAGAAGAGCTGGTAGGCCAAGTTCTAGCTGATTCCCCCTGAACCTCTTTGGTCTAAAGGTGGTGGGATCTGGTGCCTGGAGCTTTGTCTTCGGAAATCCCTTTGGTGCCACAGACGGAGAAACGCAACTGGGTGGACCTCCTCTCTTGTGATCTCAATTTTTTCCTGGTACAAACTGAGGACAACAGGACTTTTTCAGGATTACAACAAAGTTAGTGCTCATTAGGTTACATGTGTGTCGTTGCTGTGGGCAGCCAGGTGCAGGAAGTCAGTTCCTCTGTTCTCTCACCCGTCTGAGAACCCAGCAAAAACTCAGCTGCATCATGCAGAATCCAGAGCGGGGATAAGGATTCCCCAGGGAGGCTGTGGGCTCCTCTCTCCAGCCCTTCTCCCAAATAGACGAGTGTCATGGGTAGTTTTGTCACCTGCGAGTGGCCCCCTCCCCCCCAGCCTCAGTACTCCCTGTAGGCCTCGTGAAGCGTGGAGTTTGGCCAGGCGGCGGCTGCTTGCTCCTCACCCTTGGCTGCTAGTGCAGGGGCAGAATGCTATCCCCAAACCGAGGCTCACCCATACCTTTTTGATGTCCTGCCCATGGGTGTGTGCTGTGCCTTTGGACAGAGAAACAAGGCACCCAGAGACTGGATGGTGACTTGTTTTACTCCTGTCCCCAGGCCCTGTGGTGGATGGCTTAGCTGACCGAATGATCAGCTTGATATGGGGTTATCAGAACTCCTCTGTCTTAAGGAACAAGACAGGTGGGGGGAGGATCAGAGGCTCCACCTTCAGGGTTTAGGAGCTTAGCTTCACCTTTTCCTGTTTTATTCCTAAGGACAGTGTTAAGTTAGCAACTGGTTGTGATTCCAGCATTTCTCATGCCTCTGAGCAATTTTGAGAGCCTCTCAGAAGAGCCCTTAGGGGAAGGTTGAAGAGAGATCTCTGGCACCACTGAGAGCCAGGGGACAAAACTTCTCAAGTCTCTTAGGGCCACAGCGATGAGATTTTCTTACCCATCAATTTGGACATTAATAGAGAATGAATCTCCAACTGACAGAAGGCCTCCCATGTGACAGACTTGGAAGAGCTGATAGAAAAAGGCATCAGAGTGCCTGGGTTCTTTGCGCAATTCCCTGTTAACACTAGAATATTGTGTGCTTTCTGAGTCCCCTTGCCAGAGACATCTGTGGCATGAAACAACCTCAGGAGCTTCCTTGGTTCTGAGCTGAGAGCTTCTGCTTTCATGCCCAAAGCCATTTTTCTTCCTTCCTGGTGATTGATGGGCTATGGCTCAACTGTCATGTTTCCAGGTGCAGATATGGACAGATACTGCATCTGGGAAGATGTCACCACATGACTTGAGGCCAGTAAGTCACCTGAGCCGTAATCACAGTGCAGAGGCACTACGGATAGAACTCTCATTGGAACAGACTCTGGCCACATGGCTCTCCTCGGGATCCTTAGAGGAAGAGGATAGGGAAGAGGAAGACAGGGTAGGCAGAGGAGGGGGCTGTTAGGAAACTGGTGTCTATGGCTGGAGAAGAACACAGGACAATTTGTTACAATGTGTAGTGCCTCCAACTGCAACTAAGTTCTGTGGCCACTGAGGATCCTTTGTTTCTAGCTGTTTCCCTAGGATTGAAACATTGTCAACAGTCACCGCTTTACCAAGGCCTCAGCCCGGCCTCCTAGAGCTGCTGAATAGAGGACGAGGAGCCGGCTCCTCAGCCCACTTCCCGGTTAGAGATTAGATCTGGCACCTCCTGAGCCTGAGGGCTTCCAGGAAGGCAAGGCAGGACATGTCAGGGTGTTCCACCGATGGGTCTGAGCACATCCCGCCATTGTCTAGAATTAGCCTTGCCGGAGGGAGTATGGGCTGACAGGGACGTGGAAAGGAGGGACACAGGAACTTGTCAAAGCTGAAGACATTGTATAGTTAGGTCTTAGGTACAGGGCGAATTTTCCCTTGATATGGCCACACTGCCTGTTAAAATATTGAAATGCTTTTGTACCAGTTGGAAAAAAGCCACAGTTCCAAGCCCCACGGAGTATTTCCTAGAGCCTAAGGCTCTTTGAACTGGTCAGTGCCCAATGACAGCCTGGCTGTTAAATATTTGACTACCACCCTTGCTTATGGGTGCTGAGCTCTGCAGGAGTAGTCTGTGGTCCTTAAAACCTTGTGGATGGTTAGCTGACGGTCCGAGAAGGTGGGACCTGGAGTAACGTCCCTCACAATCAGGAACGACAACTGGCTGGGTGGTGAGAGCCCTCTACCGCAGCCTACCTTTCTGAAGCTCCTGGCTCTCCTTAGCTTATTTCAGCTCCTAGATGGAGAGGATGAGAGGCAATGGTCTTTTTCAAGTGGTAAAATCGAAGAGGCCTAAGAGACCAGGGTATCCCTGGAGTTCAGGGTAAAGCAGACCCTCCCCTGAAGCCTAAAGAACGCAGACTAGAGAACGTCACGTGAACACTTTCCCAGATTAGTGACTCCCCCGCCTGTCTTCTCCTGGCAGTGGCTTTCTACTATTTCACCAGTGCCCTTGGCGTAACGGCAGGAGCGCATCGCCTGTGGAGCCACCGGACTTACAAAGCTCGGCTGCCCCTGCGTCTCTTCCTGATCATTGCCAACACGATGGCCTTCCAGGTAAGAAGCCAGCTCTGCTCAGCTCTTTTTTCTCCACTCTATCGATGATCCGGGGGCAGAATGGGGATCAGCGCCTGCAGAGCAGCAATACCTGGACGGCCATTTTACTGTCCCCTCCCGCTATGGTCACTTCAAGTGCGGGCTCAGGGCTTAAGTCCACAAAGCATGAGGAGACTTCTGAGTCACTGGAAAAGGGAAATAGGAGATAAATAGGAAATGCTTTCCGTGTAGAGGATTATTTTGCTCCTAAGGTCCCTCTGTTATCATACAGTCTGGCTGTTTTGGTCTTTCATCATAAGGGGCCACAGTGCATAAGCCAGGAACTGCCCTTGGTTTCCTAGGCAGACAATGGACAATAAATTCACTATTTTGGGTGAATATCTTAGGACTCGACCACAGTGGGATTGAAGCTGATGTTTCACAGATTCATGAACTCTGCTGCTTTCAGGTAATAAGAGCAAACACTTTTATGGTGCTGACTATGTGCCAGGCACTGTTCTAAGCACTTGACACAGAGTACCTCCCTAATTCCTCAGGAGAGTCTTAGGAGGTCTTAGGAGGTAGGTACTATGATTTCCCCCATTTTAAGATGAAGAAATTATGTCACTGAGAGGTTAAGTAGACCAACACTGGGGTCCTATATTGGGCTGCCAGACTGGCTAAGTCAAGTACTGAGGTTTGTTGAGGCAGAAAGTTTATAGCAGAGATAGAATGAAGGGAATTGGAGAAAAAGAATTCATAGTTAAGTGGTAGCAATGAGCAAAGGATAGCATTTGGGGTGGGGCTTAGCTTGGAGCAGGAAGCAAAAAGAAGAAAACCAAACTGGTCTCCATTTTCATGGCACGATCCCAGGTACTTCCCACAGTTGCATATCATCTGTGTCGTAGTACTTTATACCTTAAAGCCTCCTGATGTCCCTGTGGGCCAAAGGGAAAGAAAAGATATTGGCATGTCCTTTAAGGGATGGAATGGGTCCCAGAGGAACCCAGAGGTCATTTGGAAATGTGGTCAAGATCATGCTTTATATGCCTGGCCTTGAGTTGTGTGTCTTTTACTGAGGCATTGGAATGGAGCTCCCTGCAGCTTCATCCACAACTAGGACCCTAGGACACAAAGCTGCCTGCCTCATGTTCTCCATGCCCAGGGGTTAGGCATCCCATGAGGACCTTTTCCAGCATTTCTTACTTGAAGAATTGAAATGTTCTTTCCTAATAAAACTATCTGAGCTCTGTGTGATCTGCTTCTATTCTGTCCACCATATAACCTTCAAGAGGCAGCCTTCATGTGGTCCTGGGACTTTAAGTTGCTTTCCCACTTAAGCTTCGGTGGCACGTTGAGGGGAGAGGAGGCAACTCCCTGACTCCTCCTTTGGAGCCCTGGCTCCTGAGTGTTTTGTGAGGTTGGGCTGAGAGTCCTGGACGCTTGAAGCTACCTATCCATTGGAATTCCCTTAAGAGGGTGTCTCCTCAAGCCTCCATTTCCTTTCTCTCTCCCTCCAGAATGACATTTTTGAATGGGCCCGAGATCACCGTGTCCACCACAAGTTTTCAGAAACAGATGCTGATCCCCACAATGCCCGACGTGGCTTTTTCTTCTCTCACGTGGGTTGGCTGCTTGTGCGCAAACACCCAGCAGTCAAAGAGAAAGGTGCTTTGCTAGAGTTATCTGACCTAAAAGCCGAGAAGCTGGTGATGTTCCAGAGGAGGTGAGTGAAGTGATGATGGAGCTGGGCACTTGGGGTCTGGGGAGCCCCCTTTATTCTCCTGGGACTTAGAAACATAAGCTGAGAACTTACTGGGTTTGCGTGTTCAAAATCATAATTTAAAACCTTAATTTTTAACAGCCCATAGCCATAGACTATTGCTCTTTCTTTCTCTCTGAGCTATCTTTAATTAAACCAATTAAATTCAACAAATGTTTATTGACCTAAGACAGTCATGGATACAAAGATGAATGTGTCATAGTCCTTACCTTCAATAGTTTGTAGCCTGTTGGGTGGAGGGAAAAGCCAAGTATCTGAATAACTATGATACAAGGCAAAATATTTTCTGTGCCAATGAGAGGCACAATGGGGAGGGAGATTGCATAGTGGGGAACATCAAGGAAGGACTTATGAAGAAAGAAGCTTTGGAATCCACTGATGGATGGAGATTTTCACAGGTGTGTGTGGGGAGGGACTGTGCAAACAGAAAGAAGAGAATGAGCTAAAGCATGAAGCACGTCCTAGGAGCAGAGTACTTTTGCTTGAAGTATAGGGTGTGGTGGGCAGTAAGACAAGAAACAGAGATTGATGCCATTCTTGTGGAGTCTTAAAAGCAGTCTTAGGATTTAATTCGATAGGCAATAGGAAACATTGAAAGTTTTTTGAGCAGGAATGTGGCATAGTCAGAGGTGTGCTTTAAAAGGTCGTTCTCAGAACAGGTGAAAGAAACCATCATCCAAAGAGATGAGAGGCAGGGCCACAAGTTGGGAAGTAATGAGACTCCATGCTAGGAAAGCAGTGGCGAGAAGGGAAAGGAGTTGGATGCAGGGAAAACCAATGAGATAAGAGTATAAGACTTGACCGCTGAAGGGATGTAGGAAATCAGTTTCCTTAGAAAGACATTGGCCTGGTCTACGTTTGGGAGAATGAAGGACGGGATAGGGCCTCCAGAGAGATGGAGACCTGCAGGCTTCAAGGCCCCGTACCTCTGAGGAAGAAGAGGAAGGATTAGACGGTGGCTGGCAGGACATGGAGGCAAGACCCTAAACATCAATTCTGCAAAGAGCACTGGCGGGAAAGAGAATGGAGCCCGGAGGCAGAATGGAATAACAGCCTGGGAAGGACAACTCAGTTATTATTTTGTAATTTGGACCTCGTCTGTCTTACCAAGAGGGTATGATGCTATAGTAAAAAAGAGCGATGGGTTTAGAGTCAGGAGACAAGCAGTCCAATCCTTGCTCCACCCGTTCCTCGTGGTATGATCCTAGAAAAGTCATTTCACCCCTCATGATCTCAACTAAAAAGTGAGATAATAATACTACATTCTCAAAAGATTTCCCATCCCAATCCCTCTTGCTCTGCTGTCTACCACACTGTACTCATTGTAGAAGGAAAAAGACAGCCCAACCCTGTGATGGCGGAAAATCAGGTAGTTCTGAAAGCCCTCTCCGTTGACTTCAGCCTGTCGTCTCTCCGTGCAGGTACTACAAACCCGGTGTCGTGTTGCTGTGCTTCATCCTGCCCACACTTGTGCCCTGGTATTTCTGGGGTGAAACTTTTCCACACAGCTTATTTGTCGCCACTTTGTTGCGTTACGCTCTTGTGCTCAATGTCACTTGGCTGGTGAACAGTGCTGCCCACCTCTACGGATATCGTCCTTACGACAAGACCATTAACCCCCGAGAGAATATCCTGGTTTCACTGGGAGCTGTGGGTAAGTCAGCAGTCCACAGCAAGACCACATCTAGTGGTCTGCTGGTTAGGGTATTAAGCTAGCAGCCAGAAAAACCAGATTAACCTGTTTTTATGACCTCTATCTGTTCCCACTCTAAAACTAAGGGGCAATATAAGAAAATCTTTGAGAGTCAGGCAACAAGTATTACGTAAAAACGGAAGGGTGAAAACTAGCAATGCCTTTATCTCCTCACTATATTCAGATGGGCCATACTTGAGTTGTACGCCAAGCCTTATTGCTTGGTGATGCCAATAGGAAGGACATCAAAGCAACTGTTGGTGGCCCTTTACTACCACCTACCACTCTTGTTTTTTGTCTCCTGTTTTTCTCTCTTCCACCTCTATTCTGTGTGAGGAACACCCGCACTCCTAATGTGGCTCAGGGAACCCCCAATAAAACACTTTCGTTCCAAGTACCTGCTCACTGATCTAACACTGATTATTTCCAAATTTATTTCTCTCTCTCTTTCTGGTCCCAACAGGCAGAGTCTAAGACAACAGGGTTCTACCATCTGACTCTTTTTTTTTTTTGTCACTCTTCAACTAACTGTAGACTTTGATGAAGATCTGGAATTAGTTTTCCTTAAGCAGACGCAGTGGCATCTTCTTCCTCACCAGCGAGCAGTGCTATCGCTCATGCAGTACATGCAGGCAGCCTCACCGCTCCACATATTTCTGCGCACCATGACCTAACACTCACTTTTTTCTCGTTAAAATCTTCCTTTATATTCTCAACCCTGACCATCTTTGCTATCTGTACTAAAGGCAATTTTCCCATCTCTTAACTTTCACGCGTCTCCCCCTCCTTTCAGGCACCTTCTACCACTGTGCACGTTCTTACTCTGAACCATGTTTGAAACAAATCACCTAGGCTGTAGAAGTCTGAGATTTTCATAGAAATGGAAATTTCTGGAATGAGATTTGTCTTGTTCCTGCCAATGGATCTATAGTGGGCTTCCCAGCTCCAGCCTGTTTGTGACCATCAGTTCAGAGTGGCTGCCAATGTTTGACTGTGTTTCAGTCATTTCTCCTTCCTGGCTGCTCCGCTCCCTTCTCACCTCACCCTTTGTTCTCCTGCAGCTCTCTCCCCAGCCATTCTAATCTTTTTCTTCTTGAATTACCTCCCCCACAGTCACATGCTCATCTTCTGTCTGCCGGAGCTGATCTCCTCCCTTGAGCCTTTCTAGAGCTGTTATCTCGCCCTGGTTGCAACGTCTTGTCCTTCTACCCATTCACCTTCCTCCTCTTCTTTTCTCTCTTGGCTATGTGTGTATCTGATTCTGTTTTAAATCTGATAAGCGTAGTACTTGTACAGAGAAAAGCCACTTATGGAAATTAGCAATCCTCTGTCAGTACCTTTCGCCTTGGGGATATGCCATCCTCCTACTCAATTCACATTGGATAATCAGGTGTCGGCAGAGAGAGGACATACTTTGCGGTGCTCTGGATGGTGTCATTTAGTTTGCAGGACTCCCTTCACTTGCTTGTTATTAATATCATTACTACTCTACTAGGGTTCTTTTATCTTCAAAGGGCTCAACGCACTCTTCTGACCCATAGTCAGATGCATGATCCATTGCACCACTGGCCCTGTATTTCAGCGCACTCTTTTATTAGCTGTTCTTTACCCGACTTTCCCCAGCCTCATAAGGGTCAGGATGGTTGTTGTTGAATGCAGTTCAGAAAGATGAGTTCTGCCAAGGGTTGGAGAACTCTGTCTGTGGAGCTGACAGAGCTTTACCCATTATAGAAATTATCCTGAATCCAAAGTTTCTTGGTCTTTCCTCTATCCAGCAAAGTGAACTGCTCATCTCAGAGGTTAGAGGGAATATCTAAGCATTTTGATTCCTTTTCCCTCAGAGAGCTTCTGTTTTATCAGCATCACCCCCCACACCAGGGTCCAAGCTCGAGGAATTTGAAGCCAGAGCAGTCCACACTGAACCAGCAGTGGCTGAGGAACTCAGGCCCTGGGCTGGGCCTCCATTCTTCTGACTGCTGGCTGTTGCTGCCCAGTTCTCTTGGTACCTTCCACCCTCAGAAGACAGTACCAGTGCAGTGGGGAAAAGTGTACTCCTTCGCTCACCTTCATAAGAAACACAGCAAAAGTTCTTCATTCTGGACTCTCCTCTCCCCACCCTAACTGATGCAAGCACACATACACACAGAGCCTTTAGGGTCTCAGATCAATATTTATTAAAGTTCCAGAGTTTTCCAACCTGAAATCCATTCCCAGACGTAGCTCTTTCTCTCTAGTCATCCTCTGAGAGAAACTGCAGTCCTCCCACAAAGGCCCCCAGAGAGCCATGGGTGACCAGGGTCTTCCAGATTGTTTCTTAAGATGCCTCTTGGGAAATCTATTTGGTTCAGAGTAGAAGAGACTGGATTCATTCAACAACAGCAGGTTTTTACTAAGTTTAAAGTACTTTGCTAAGGTAACTGACGTGCCAAGATCAGGAAGACAGCAATCCACAGTGTAGCGCCGTAACTTTTCTTCTTGCTTTTATTCTAGGTGAGGGCTTCCACAACTACCACCACTCCTTTCCCTATGACTACTCTGCCAGTGAGTACCGCTGGCACATCAACTTTACCACATTCTTCATCGATTGCATGGCTGTCCTCGGTTTGGCTTATGACCGGAAGAAAGTATCCAAGGCTGCCATCTTGGCCAAGATTAAAAGAACTGGAGATGAAACCTACAAGAGTGGCTGAGTTTTGGGTCCGTTAGGTTCCTTTTCCAAGAGCCAGCTGGGCAGAGGTTTAATGTTCTGTTTATTAACTACTGAATAATGCTACCAGGATGCTAAAGGTGATGACGTTAACCCATTCCAGTACAGTATTCTTTTAAAATGCAAAAGTATTGAAAGCCAACAACCCTGCCTTTGTGATGCTAAGCTGATATTCTTATTTCTTCTTGTATCTTCTCTTTCTTCCAGCCCCATCGTTCTTCTCTTTGCTTTGTTCCTATCATCTTCCTTTCTCTTCCCCGCTTGGTGCCTCCCAAGCAAGCAGCTGGCCAGTCGTTGGTGGGTATCCAGCTTCCAAAGCTTAGATTACCTTTTTATAGTCCAAAACTAGTGGTCTTTGCCCCAGATAACTCTTTCCTTGAGCTGTCCTGAGCATCAAGGTAGGTGGCTCAAGCTAGAGATACGACAAAATCTTCTGGGAAGGCCCCTATTAATTATCTTCAGCCCAGGCTTTTGCTAGATGGAATGGAGAAATAACTTTATTTGGCACGAAGCTTCTAAGGCAGGTAAATTGTCAGGGGAGAGAGTTAGCATGCATGGTATTATTAAGTAAGGATGGGGTGAGGTGGGAAACAAGGCAAGAAGCTCCTGCTGTGATCAGACACACAGCTGCCTGCCTATTGAGGACTTCAGGCCCCACCGCACAGCATGCTTCCTTTCTCTCCTGACTCTGCGTAGGGAATGGCCGTGGAGCTTGGCAATGGTAGAACACAAAAGCAAATCTCAATGTCCCAATATAGCTTAGGCTGGGGATAAAGAGGAAGCATTTAGTTTGTAGGAAAAGTGCTCTCTGGTGGGGAAGGATTTTTTTTTTTTTTCCTTTAATAACAGGAAGATTTCTTATTTCCTATAACAAGAAGTCTTGAGGTTGGTGTTTCCAGAATTGGTGAATCTAGCAGCTCGCAGAATCATCAAAATTCTTTCATCTTTCTGCTCTGCCATCTTCAGGATATTGGTCAGCTGCTGTCATAGCAATAAGATGGCTGCAGCATTTCCAGACATCCAAAAAAGGAATGCCTTGGTGGGAAGAGTGGTGAGCATAGCTGCCTTCCAAAAAAGGAAGGATTTTAGGAGGTGGAGTTGTGTCAAATTTAAAAATATATATACATATATACTTTGCTTGGAATATTAAAATATTTCACTTAGAGTATTTCCCTCTGAAAAGGAGGTGCTTGAGGAAGAGGAGGAATTAGATGGATTGTTTACTTTCCCCTCACTGCTGGACAGGAGATGGAGAGGTTGAGGGACAGGGTCTGTAGGCAGTTCCTAAGAGATAACTTTACAAAAGAAGGGCTCTGAGAACACATTGCCAGGGGATTCAGAGGTTACTGAGTAAGCTATTGGGTGTCCTAATATGGAAGCTGGTTACACAAACAAGTTAGATGTTAAGTTCATTCATTCCAATTTCTGCTGGGAATGAGTAAAAACCAGAAGGCTCCTTCTCCGTGTCAAACCCCTTCACTCATTCCTTCTCTGTTAGCATCTAGTCTAAAGTATAGGACTGCCTGCGGGGGTGAGGTAGGAATCTCTTCACTACCCTGATTATTGATTCCTGGCTCTACCCTATCTGTCTATTTTCTCCTACCGGTTCTATCTCCTCCCTGGTGTTTTCTTCTTTCTCTGGACAGGCAGCCTCCTTTGTGTGTATTCAGAGGCAGTGATGGCTACTGCCATCGTCCAGGCAACTCCCTCTCCTGCAGACAGAATGCTCAGGGTCATTGAACCACTGTTTCTCTTTATAAAGTTGAGCTAGCTGCCACTTTCACTTGGCCTCCAGAGTCTCTCCACCTACACCCCTGTGCTCCCCAGGCACACTGATGACTCAAGACAAGGCTGGCAAAGCCTACTGGAAACATCCCTGGCACAGGTGCTCTCACTTGTGAGGCACAGCCAAGCCAAATGCTTGCGTTGTGCTGCTGAGCCGGCCACAGAGCAAAAGATTTGTTTTTGATCTCCTTTGCCTGAGTCAGAACTAGAGAGCATGCTGGATGCCCTCTGCTTACTCACTCAGCCTGCCCAGCCTGAGTCAGTGCTCCCAACTGACAGTGCAATGCTTGTAGAAGTAGGAGGGAGCCAAGTCTTTACTGGGAAGCACAAGAAGCAAAGGCAGGTCCCAAAGTGCCTCATGCGGAAGGAGGCCCCGTTCCCTGGAGCCAGGGTACACTGCAGAGCTTTGGCTGTGACTTAGGATCTGAGATGCCATGAACTTTGCTGAACAGCATCTCTGTTTAGTAAACTAACCAGCATTCCCTACCACACAGCCTAGGGCAGACAATAGTGTAGAAGAGGTATGAAAAAAGACAACATCAGTGTTTTGAGAACCTTGGACCACTCCTGTCCCTGTACCTCAGTCATCAGGGTGGAAGCCTGGCTTTACTCTATTCAGACTGGAAATGCACAATACCAAATGCTCTGTCCACTGTTGAGCCCCAGTGGTGGAAGGGGGGGTGGCCTTTCTTCCTGTATTAATTGAATAGAGGCTACAGGGGTTAGGTTGCACTAAAGGCATGCTTGTCTTCTGAGCTGTTGCTCTCAGTAGAAAAGAATCCAGTGGAAGAGCTCTGTAGTTTAGATCTGTTGACCTGTGTACCTACCCCTTGGACATGCCTGTCAGGTAGTTTTAATTCCACAGGTCATCAGATACCTGCTTTATAAATTATGAGCAAAAACGACTTTATCTTTCTATTCTAATCGTCTTCCATGGATCTGATCCATACCATGACCCTACACTGGATGGGGTCGGCAGGCTGAGGGCCCCAGGGTTTGTGTGGATGTGTAGGTAGGGGCATGTCTGCTGAGTAGGGAACACTCTTCAAGATTCCAAAGCCAAATTCAATTGATACACTAATGATCCAGAAACTCAGATCTGATAAGTCAGAATTTCTAACAGTCCTTGCTTTGTGGATATGCTGACAACTTATGTGGGTGCCTTTCATCTTTCCGAATTGGTGTTGCCTATGAGCCTGCTCTTGCTCCCTCTGTGGAGCTCCTTTGCACCTGAGAGCCTACAGAAGTGGGTGGTAGAAACGGGGCCCTGGCTGGAGAATTATCAGTATAGCTATTTGCTGGAGTCTCTTCTGGGCTTCATTTTGGAAACTTAGGGCTGTTTTTATTAAGTGCCCACATTTGATTGAGGGTGGAAATAATTTGAATGTATTTGATTTATAATTTTTTAGATTAAAAACTGGTTGTAGCATTTTAAGTGGAATCTTTTTCTCCTTGGTTTGCTAGTATCCTGAGTGTATTCTCTGTAAGTGTAGCTCAAATGGGTCAGCATGAAAGGTTAAAGAAAGCAAGATGTCAATGTTACGTGGGTGGTTAAGGCCAGGGCCTCTCCTACCACTGTGCCACTGACTTGCTATGTGACCCTGGGCAAGTCACTTAACTATAATGTGCCTCGGTTTTCCTTCTGTTAAAATGGGAATAATAATACTGACCTACCTCAAAGGGCAGTTTTGAGGCATGACTAATGCTTTTTATAAAGCATTTTGGGATTCTTCAGCAGAGGAATTCTCTTAAGTCCTGAGTATTTTTATAGAAGCAGTATCCACCACGAGCTTGTGTCCACCGTGAACCATGTGTCTTGGATGCTATCATTAATCTATATGGTTCTCTCTGAGAGATTGAGGAAATCCATTGGATAAGTGGTGGATAACCAGCCAGACAAAATTCAAGAATGTGTAAACTCTTTGTCACGGAAGCTTACACAGGATACTTTTTCCTTGATTGGGTGGGATTTTTCCCTTTTTATGTGGGATAGTAGTTATTTGTGACCTAAGAATAATTTTGGAATAATTTCTATTAATATCAACTCTGAAGCTAGTTATACTGATCTGAGATTGTGTTTGTTCATAATAAAAGTGAAGTGAATCTGATTGCACTCTGTCTGGGAGTTTTTTGGCTGTGATTCAGTCTCCTGGGACTTATCTCTCTGGTCCACCACCCTATCTATGACCTGTTCCTCTACCTTTAAGAGTGAAAAAGAAGTCAAAGCTCCCATGCCTGACTCATACCCCAGTGACCCGCCCTGCCCTTCCTAAGGGTAACTTTAGGTTAAACTCAGCCTTGGCAGCAGGAAACCAGGAGTCTGCTGCCATTAAATCAAACATTTACACCAGCTGGCACCCTGGCCCTGGGGAGATGCCAGGTCTCTTGTATGTCACATGGTCACATGGACCCACAAGAGAGATCCTGAGAGGAAGAGAGCAGCAGGAGAAACACTCTGAGAAAGCAGTTCTTTACCTTGCCCCCAAGGCTGTTCAGTCCAGGTCATTCCTCCAAAATGTAGTCCCTCCTGGCAATAAAATAGCTTTCTGAAGATGCTGATTAACAACAGTGGAAAGATAGGAAAAACAATCCCAGGGAACGTTTGTAAATTCCTGGACTAGAGAGGGTCTCATGATCATAAGGCAGGAAAGGCTTTACTGAGAATCCTCATGTGGAAAAGAGAAGGTGGACTTTTTACAGTTGGAAGAAACTCCATCTTCCACAGGGGCCACCTTGACAATGTGAGGTTTCTAAGAGTTCCCTGGAACCAGCTCACTTCACTTTCTAGTGTAAAGTTGCCCTCCCCTTGGACAAAAAGCAAGATTCTCTTGGAATATATCTGAGCATCCAAAGTCAAGTCTATATTTACTGAGGTCTTGCCAGACAGTAATGTAAGTTGATGGCAGCCTTTTCTTCATCGATTAATATCTGGCTTTTCACCCTGTTCCCACGGTTTTATTTAAAATGTTCAAGCTGGACTATTTTTTCAGTTCTATAACTGCACTCTCTTTGCAGGTTTCTGCTTTGTTTCCCATTAACTGGCATCCACTTTAAACAATTGTTCCTCACTCAGCTCTGCTCCTTTTCATTTCCTCCTGTCTTATGCCTGGCTGCCCTCCCTCGGATTAAATATACTTCTATGCTTCCACCAGACAATTTGTATTTTGTATATTATTTTCTCCTGGGGCTGTTTTCTTATTCTTATCTACAAAAGTTTCAAGAAGGAAGAGGAAAGGGGAGAGCTCTCAGAGCTTGACCAATAGGTTCAGTTGAATTTAAGATTGAAAGAGAACGGGAATAAGTAGTGAGCATACCTGCAAGGGGGAGCTGTAAAACAAGAGCTGGGGGCAAAATAAATGAACCCTTGTTTTTGCCATGCTTTGTATAGGGAGGTATAAAGAGGTTAAGGCTCTATTTAATAATCAAGATTTAACCATGGGACAAAAAGATAAAAAGTAACAAGATAATAACGGAGAAGAGCATAGAAATAAAATTCCTGATGTCCAGTGGCCATCAGTTTGCTCCCTCTTCCCTAAAGGAAGAAACAGCCTAGTTCCTAAAACTGTCCGTCAGGGTAGAAAATGAAATAAAAGGCATCCAGACAGGAAAGGAAGACGTAAAACTCTCTCTGTATGCAGGTGACATGATTTTGTATATAAAAAAATCCTAAAGAATTCACACAGAAAACTTTAGAGCTAATAAATTCAGCAAAGTTGCAGGATGCAAGATCAACATACAAAAATCAATTATATTTCTATAAACTAGCAATGAACAATATGCAAACAAAGTTTAGAAAAGAATTCCATTTATAACAGCGTCTAAAAGAATAGATAAACAGGGATAAATCTAACAAGAGAAGTGCATAAGAATGGTACATTTTAAGCTACAAAATATTATTGAAAAAGATTAAAGAAGGCCTAAATAAATGGAAAGAAATCTGATGTTTATGGATTGGGAGACTTAAGTTGGTAATACTCCCCAAACTCATCTATAGATTCAATGTAACCCTTATCAAAATTCCAGCTGCCATATCTTTTTACAGAAATTGACAAGCTGATCCTAAAATTCATTTGAAAATTCAAGGGACCCAGAATAGCCAAAAGAAACCTGAAAAAGAAGCACAAAGTTGGAGGACTCACATTTCCTGATTTCAAAATTACTTCAAAGCGTCAGTAATCAAGACAGTGTAGTACTGGCATAAGGACAGACATATACATTGATGGAATAGAACTGAGAATGTAGAAATAAACCCATCAATTGATTTTGACAAAGATGTCTAGACAATTCAATAAGGAAAGAATAGTTTTTCAACAAATGGTATTGGACAACTGGATATCCACATGCAAAAGAATGAAGTTGGCCCACTACCTCACATCATATACAAATATTAACTCAAAATAGATCAACTAAAACTATAAAACTCTTAGGAAAACACAGAGGTGTAAATCTCCATAACCTTGGACTAGGCAATGGTTTCTTACATATGACACCAAAAGTATAAGCAACAAAAGAAAAAAATACATTGGACTTCATCAAAATTTAAAAATTTAGGCTCTAAAAGATACTATCAAGAAAGTAAAGGGGCCAGCCCCATGGCCTAGTGGTTAAGTTCAGCATGCTCCACTTCGGCAGCCTGGGCCCAGTTCGAGGGCATGGACGTACACCACTCGTCAGCAGCCATGTTGTGGTGGTGACCCACATACAAAACAGAGGAAGATTGGCACAGATGTTAGCTCAGGGTGAATATTCCGCAGGAAAAAAAAATTTAAGAAAGTAAAAAGACAACCCATAGAATGAGAGAAAATATTTTCAAATCATGTATCTGATAAGAGATTAGTACAGAATATAAAAGGAACTTTTACAACTTAACAATAAAAAGATAAATAGCCCAATTTTAAAATAGCCAAAGTATTTGAATAGACATTTCTCCAAAGAAGATACACAAATGACCAATAAGCATATGAAAAGATGCTTAATGTTATTAGTTCTCAAGGAAATGCCAATTAGAACCACGATGAGATACCACTTCACACTCACTAGGATGGCTCCAATCAAAAAGATAGCTAATAACAAGTGTTGAGGAGGAGGTAGAGAAATCGGAACCCTCATACGTTGCTGAGGGGAGTCTAAAATTATGCAGCTGCTTTGGGAAATAGTTTGGCAGTTCCCTAAAAGGTTAAAACCTAGAGTTACCATAAGACCCAGCAATTCCACTCCTAGGTATATACCCAAGAGAATTGAAAACATATGTCCACACAGAAACTTGCACATGAAAGTTCATAGCAGCATTATATACTATATAATGTAATAGCCAAGAGATAGAAACAACCCAAATGTCCATCAAGAGATGACTAGATAAACACAATGTGGTATAGCCATATAATGGAATATTATTCAGCCACAAAAAAGAATGAAGTACTGGTATGTCTACAACATGGATGAACTTGGAAAACATTCTAAGGGAAGGAAGCCAGACACAAAAGACCACATATCGTGTCATTCCATTTATATGAAACATCCAGAACAGGCAAATCCAGAGACAGAAAGCAGATTAGCGGTTGCCAGGGGATGGGAGCAGGTAATGAGAAGTGACTGCTAGTGGGTATGGGCTTTTTGGGTGAGGAGGAAAATGTTCTAAAGTTAGATCATGGTGATGGTTGCACAACCCTGAACATGGTAAAACCACTGAATCACACACTTTAAAGGGCGATTTTATGGTAGATGAATTATATCTCAATAAAAAATGCGTGAGAAAAAATTGTCCTCTGTTTTAATGTTTTTACCATTAATTGTAAATAGCGGAGATTCAAATACAAATAGAATGAAAAGAAGCCCTCCATATGCTCTAATTATATAGTGATGTGGTCTCCGTTCTCAAACTACAAGGAGACAAAGACACCAGCCACATGAGAAAAGGCAGCTGCTGTAAACAAGAGGCTCTGGGATGATATTCTCGCAACACCAAACGCCTTGGAAAAATCTATATACCATGTTCTACATTAGTTAAACGGGGTTAAGGCCACTGCATAAACACAAATCTAACAACATTTTAATGCAGGAAATCCAAGTTCTGAGTCCACCAGACCTGTGGATGCAATAACAACCACAACAACATTGACTCTAGCCAAGCACTGTCCTGAGCGCTTGACAGAGCATTGTCTCATTGGATTGGAAGCCAATGTTATTATTACCCCGATTTTACTGATGAGATAACTGAGTTCACTTGGAGAGAAAGTAAGTGGTGAAAGTGTGAGTAATGGTGCCATGATCCAGCTCCAGAACTATGGTTATTAACTACTTTCTATATTGGGTGTGGAATACATGACAAACTAGATAAGCCCAGAGTGTGTGTAATCTCTCATGTATTCAAGTATATGCCCGGTGATAATTGAGTTATCCTCAGAGGCAAAGCCTCATTGCAATGCAGGAAGCTGAATTTATGCAAAGTTAAACTGTAGGCACATCCTTTGTTCCAGAAGAACCCAACTCACTCCACCTCGTGACCCATTTTAACATTCAACCACACGTGAGTTTTAAGTTCTCTTTTCAAACCGTGGAAACATACCTGACACTTCCTCCTTACTTTTCTAAACCCTACTCCACTCTCTTCTCTTGTCAGATTTTGAGATCCTTAAGGGCATCTTCTTTTAAGAATGTCCTCTGCACCTAAACAATCAGTGCTTGATAAAATTATTGAAAGATCTCATGTTTTGTTTTAAATTCTGTCTCTGTGACAAACTGTGTGAAATGTCACAGGGAAGGAGTGGTAGTCTGTGACCGGTAGTTAACTTTCTACGCTACAAGCAAAGCACTGATTCTTGTATGCTGACTTCGGGGCAAATGCCACAGGCCTTAATTGCAGGCTCCAAGGAGCTGAGATTCTATACTGGGGTTGCTGGAGGCAGAGCCTTCCTCTTTTCAAGACCCAGGCCTGCCCCTCCCCCACCCAGTCCTGTCCAGCCTGCTACACCCAGGCCACAGAGAGCTCACAAAGGCCAAGTGTCTGCTGTGCTGACTCACAGAGGTTCCCGGTCCGGGCTAGCGCTGTCTCAGAGGGGCCAAAGGGGCCTTCTCCTTCCTGGCCATTTCCCATAGGGGCAGTGAGTAG